GTTAGCAAGGACCTCAAAGTCAGTTTATTTCCGTAAGATTACAAGACCACACTTAATTACGGTACGCGCAATGAAAAACAAAAACCTCGAATGAAATTCAGTACGACACCGCCGGACACGAAAACCCAAAACCACTTGTGGAAAAAAGGGAAAGTACGCCCCAGCTGCTGAAATCAGCTGCGGTGCCGGCGTACAATGCAACTCGGGGGCAGAGGTAGGCAAAAACTAGCCGCCAAAAGCCTACAAATAAATATAACACTTGAAATATAGCAAATAAAACAAAAGTTAGGAGCTCGAATGAATGCTGACCTAGATTGATTCAAATTTGCAACGTACAACTGGACATATCTCAAAAAGGCTACCCACAATTCTTCCTAACCGGCCCAGTCCCTGGTCCGTGCCGGAGGGATTTAGGCCTAAATATAACTCTGACTTGGCTTCTGAAATAAGGTCCAAACCAGAGGCAAAGAAGATACATGACTGTAGAACTTGCGAATGCGTGGTAAAAGTTAGAAGATATCAGGGACCGGTTTAACTTTAGAATCAGTTTCAACAAAAAAAAAAGATCAAACTACTGTCTACTTGGTTAACCCTTTAAGCCCTTAGAGTGATCAGCATCAAATTTCTCCTTGTAATATCAATGTTTTGTTAAACAGAGTGGTCATGAGAATTACGCACATGATCACACAAGATGAATTTGCTTGATATTTTATCAACTTCTCCCTACTACTTCTGTAGGAAATGAATAGGGGCAACAAATGGGAATGCAAATTTTGATCTTAGGGTTTAAAGGGTTAAAAAAACAACTAAAAATGCACCGAATGCTAATAGTCTTGCAAACTACCTTCCACCCTACCTAGCTCTACCTTAAGGATGGTTTCTTGTGACCATAGAAACTCTGTTATTTTCTGACCCCTTCAGGGCTTAAACAGCTATAATCTCAATAAATTGGACCTTTCTGCTTTAGTATAATTTTACTGTGGATCCATTGTAAGGTTTTCATTCCAACTCTTTTTCATCTCACACGTTCATCAAAGGAAAAATAATTAATGTTATTTAAAAAAAGATGTTCTGGATTGTACCGCGCTTTTCAACGTTGATGGGAGTAATCAGTGGCTCGTGAGCGAGTTTGGCCTTCCATAATCTTTTGCAATCTAAATTAAAGATTCAACTTTGCTTTTGGGAACGTATTTCATAGATTTTAAGCCTAAAATAGTGAGATAAACTAACATCAAAGCCAGGACTTGAGCTAGAACAGCCGAACGGAGTTCATGTTTCTGGTCGAAGACGACGTAATCCTTATCAAGTTACACGTGAAATACACCACAATCTCGGTATCGAAACAAGAAAAGTTGATGGCCAGTCTCGTTGTATCACAGAAAAGTGCTAACAGAGCTTTTCTAGTGAATCCAGGTGAAACGCCGAAAGAGCGAGCCCCTCGGTCGTCCATGTCTTCTTGGAAAGATGAGCGATCGAAACCTAAGCAGAAAGAGTGGGGCGCTGAGCAGCCCTCTCAGCTGTGTTTGTTCCTGTACCTTATGTCAAGCGTACGACTCCAGAACCACAGCGAAACGAAACTAGTGCACAGAGATCTTTTGAGTGCATGTGATCGACTAGTCACTGACATTCCCCATTTCAGAAATTATAAGAGGAATGGGTACAAGCTTTCAGCGCAAAGATTCCTGGAATCGTTTGGGTGGCCAATCGTTAGTTATGATTGGTTAGTTGTTGTCTAGAATACTATCGACCAATCATAACTAACGCTTGTCAACCCAAACGATTTACTTATTCTCCTAGAGCTTCTGGAATGGGGAATTGAAGTAGTGTGTACTTTTATTGAAAGCAGTCTATGTACAGTTTTAACATTTTTTTTCCGGAATTTATTTTTTAATACATATATTTTTTAACCCGCATAGGTAGACTTTGTCTTTTGTTTGTTACAAGTTAGAATACAAACGCAGAGAAAAGTGAAATCAGCACCAAGGGTGAAATTGAAACGTGGCAAGTTAAAAATGTACAAGGGTAAATGTTGAGATGAATATTGTGTTGCAGATAGAGAGCATAGTACGAAGGACATTATGTATATATCTAGTCTGCGAGCAAGCTCCCCGGGGCGCCGTCTGGCGGAAGGGTGGGAATAGAAAGGAGAGCTTGCAACTGCGTCTCTGGAATTTGAATGTCTGCATCGAAAAAGTCTATGCGAAATGCTCTTGTTTGGCGGAGATGACCTCAGTAATGCGTCATTACCCTTGGCATGTGTTTTTTAATGTTTGTTTACATTGATTTCGTGCTCGTTTCCTCTCTGCGCTGATTGGCGAAAATTTGACAGCTCAGTCGACGAGGAGCCACAGGGGAATTGGAGGAGGAATTTAAATTCCAGAGACGTAGTGTAAGCCCTTAGAGTGATCAGCATCAAATTTCTCCTTGTAATATCAATGCTTTTAAAACAGAGTGGTCATGAGAATAGACTACGAGCAGTCTCTCTTTTTTCTGTAGTCCGTGGAGCAAAACGCGAAACACGCAAATGGCCACGCGCGTGACTGAGAATTCCAAACATGATCACACAAGACGAATTTGCTTGATATTTTATCAACTTCTCCCCACTACTTCTACAGGGAAATGAATAGGGGCAACAAATGAGAATTCACATTTTGATCGTAGGGTTTAAAGGGTTAAACCCTAACTTTAGTATGCATATTCTCACACTTTTCCCCATCCATTCACTTTTCTAAGAATGCTGAACCAGTGTATCATGCCATTTTTAAAGTTGAAATAGGCTATTCAACATGTTGAACGAAAATAGATAGGCTATGTTCCGTTCAAATAGTTACAGCTTGCCAAAACATCACTCCCCGTTTGTTGAGCTACAAATACTAAACGAGTAACTGTGTGTCAGAGAAGAACATATATCAAACTACCCACGTCACTTGTTAACCATTTTCCTTAATCTCGATTGAGCTGTGGCCTCGTGAGGAGCAATGTGATGCTGATCACCGTTGGCGTTTAAAGGGTTAAAACTAAGTTAAGCTTATGTAAACAATGCAATTACAACCACGCTCATTAGTGTATAGCCTCCCACGCAGGCGTTATTACGGGAGCTCATTTTTCATCCCTCCTAAGGTTTGTGGGAAGGGATGAAAGACGATCTCCCCTAAAAACGCCTGTGTGGGAGGCTAATTAGTGTAGAGATGCGCGTCGCTGAGGCAATGTATTTTTAGTCATTTTTAAAAATGTAGCTCTAACTTTTTAGAGTGCACAAAATCATGTTCGAACCATTCAGATGAAATTTCTTCACCTTTTGTTTGCATGGTTGGTATATTTTTTCGTCATTTTCTTATTAATTTATTTTTTACCGCATAAAATATAGGAATTTTGATTTTAGCACTCTTGGGAAGTTGGAGGGCCAAGAAAAAAGTTAAAAGATTTTAACTAGGAGGACAGGCAGTTTGTGAATAAATTAGCCTTTCAGCTCCGAATTTCAGTCGAGTACGGCCAGACTTAAAAAACACTACTCTTTGCTCCAGCCAGGGCTAGCCAATCATAGAATCGAGCAATCCAGTCAACCAATCTGACTCAAAGGCAATAGTAAAGTGTGATGTCATAAAAAATTAAATTTGTGAAATTATGGGACTTTTCGGGGTATTATGAAAGAACATCCAGAAGGACTACTTGCCAAAATTTAGCATTCCAGGGCAAATTAGCCCAGTTATGCTTTGATGACTCCATATACAAATCCTTCTAAATTCGACTCAGTTCATAACATCAGGAACCGAGTCAAATTGAGAAGGATTTGTGTGGAGTCATCAGAGCAAAACGGGACCAGAATCTCCCGAGACAATTTGCCCCACAATGCGATTGTTTGGCCAGAAGACCTTCCAGATGTTGTTCTTTAAAAATATCCAACAAATCCCATTAATTCTAATATTATATTTTTTACGACGTCATCGCTTTAGAACACTATGGCGCTAAAATGCTGGCTGCGAATAAGTCCGGATTGTTTAGATTAAACCTGTGATTGGTTAGGAAACTGGTGCGATATTTTCCTAGCCGACCATCAACGCACCGGAGCAACACCAGGTCAATCACTAAACACGCTATGGTTAATAGAAGTTTGGTGGTCTTGCAGACCGTGCTACGTAATGTAAGATACCATAACAAACCTACCCTTTGACCCAATAACAACGACAACCAACCCTTAACCCTACACAACGACAACGTTGACGTCCCGGAAGTCAAAAATGGCAACCGGAAGTTGAGATTTTCTCTCTTTCAGTGCTCTAACTAGACAAATTCGTACAGAGGCAGTTAAAACAGAAGCATTCAGATTCGTTAGGCTGCAACACCCGTATTTTGGAGGCGCTTGATGGCGCATCAAACCCGCTTAAACGCTCCAGAAACGCTTGTTTCCCAGGCCAATAGCTAAGCTACTGCATACATTTCAAGGGAGGTTATTCCTTGAAAAGGACCCACGTTTCGGAAGAAGTCAGATGGCGATTGTTCCTTCCCTTCCTCCCCTTAGGAAGATTTGGATCAGTGTAAGATTCTGGAGAAACTGGCAACCTACCCCTCCCCAAACACAACATTTTGTTTTAAGTAGGAAATTATTGTCAACACTGGGTTACGGGGAAGGGTGGGTCTTAAATATCCCAAGTCAGGCCAAGCGTTTTGCCAGCTCTCGTTTAGAGAAAGACTCTCAGTAACATTTTCTGTAAACACACTTTTATCCTTCCAAACAAGATGTGTGATTGGTCATAAAGTATGACGAGTAAGTTGTAAAGAAATGAACAGAAATGCAACATCAAGATTTTTGGCAGGGGGAAGGGAGGTAACGCAGCGATGAATGCAGGCTGAAGGAATTCTTTTAAAAAATTTTTGAGCACGCATTTTTTCAAGGACATCTTGTTCCTATCCTCACAAATTTTACACTCATGATGCGAGTATTAACTGTGCTAAGCAAGAAGAAATTATTCTGTTTCTGACAACATGCACTGCCCAATGATTCAGGTTTTTACATCCACTGCTCTGTAATGAAGAATCAGTGGTCCAGAAGAATTTTCCTGAAAACGAAAAAAAAGTGTGAGTGCGGGCAAAAAAGGCTCGGAAGACTTCTTTCTCTGCCCCTCCTAAGGGGCCTCGTTTTTCGAGGACACGAGACACACGAGTGACTGGTGACAAAGCGCAAAGAAGCATGAGAAAAAAGAGGGGCAAAATCTCGCCCGTTTTCTCCTTCCCGCCCAACCTCGTTCCCAGAGTTCCGTCCTACCCGTCCCTTGGAGCGAGAAGGGGACAGGTAGGAGACAACCCTGGGAACGAGGTTGCGTCCCCCTTCCTTTGCGCGCGAATTTTCATCCATTCTTGTCCCCAGAGCCTCCTATTCCCTGAGCCGGCGAGGCCTGAGGATCCCTGAGCACGAGAGCCTGAGGACCTCCTCGTCCTCGTGCTCAGACATCGCCGGCTAAGAGAACAGGAGGCTCTGGGGACGAAAATGATTTTCATCGAGAGAGAGACGACTTGGTACAGGGCAGCTTCTTTCTCCTGCAGGGAGCAGCAGTGCGTGGCCTAATAATGGGGACTTCAAGGTCCTGAAACGACGGCGAAGGCAACGAGAACGTCAAAAAAGCATCAGGTTTAAAGGGACTATGTCAGGCTACTTACTATCGTTTAAATCAGCTAAAACTTGTCTTCGCATCAATTAAATGCCAAAAATAAAGGTCCAGTTTTGTTATTTATGACTATATTCAGGCACTGAGACTGTTTTCTCTCGTCTGTTGCTACGGATGCGATGACAAGGATGGACATGGTTTGAATTTTCTCCTAACAATATCCATACATCAGTGAACAGATAAGTTATGAGAATTAATAAAATGATCACCCAAGTAAAAATGCCTTGACCTTTTATCAAATTCTCTCAACTTATTCTTTAAGGAAATGTATGGAGATGAGTTTGGAGAATTTGTACGTGGATACTGGGGCCTAAGGGTTTAATACTAACCACAAAACAATTAATTATTATGGTTGATGCTCCCTGGTGAAATTTGTTTGACATCATAATGCTACAGGTACATTTTGTGTTTTGGTAAAAGCACTAAGCAATGACTTCAGCAAGAAATTGACCTAAATTAAAACAGCAATATTCTCAGTCCTAGGATGAAAAAACCTCGGGCACCCTGGGTAATTTCTTTACCGTCACTGCACGTGAAACGATGCCTAACTTCACGTTATATGGAAGACGTAAACAAGCGAAGACGAAATTTTCCTACTCTTTCTGAACTTGGATATGGTATCATAGAGACTCTTGTTCTTCGGCCATCTTAGTTTGATCAAAAATTAAATACAAACAGCGGTGATAAACATTGCGAGTTTTCGCATTTTTATAAACTTGACGTTTCGTACGCTATTCAACATATATTCTCAAAAGTGATGTTAAAAATTCAATTCCAGTGGAAAGTAAGTGGGATGGAAACATCGCGATGAAGATTAAAAAAATGGAAATTCAGTTTTTAAGCGGCGTTTTCACCGTCGTCGGATCTTTAAGCCCCTCATGAAGGGCTGCATAGGAGACTAATGGTCAGCAAACATTTAGTTAAAAAAGAAAAATAACCATACCTCTTGGGTGCAGAGATTTTCGCTGATGTATTTTAGCGTTAAATCTTTCCCCATTTCCATTTTGTCAAACAGGATACCAACCTAACAGAGGATACGCCATTAACGAGTGTGTGAGTTACACGAAATAATATACCTGATTGAAAAAACGTTGTCGCTTAAATAGTATAAATCATGAGCGATATGGGTATACAGTCGACTCTCCCTTAACGGACACCTCTGTAAGACGGACACCTCTGTAAAATGGACACCTAGATTTGGTGCCTGCCTTTGCTTATTCCCGTTATTTGACCCTTTATAAGACGGACATCTCTCTAAAACGGACACTTAGTGTCGGTCCCAAAGGTGTCCGTCTTGGCGAGAGTTGACTGTACGTTCATAAGAAAAGCGAATTCAAAGTTCTTTCGACAAAACTCTTCATTATCACGAGCTGCTCGTGCAGATGCAAATCTTTTTTCAAGCGACAACGTTTTTTCAATCAGTTGTACAACGAACAATGTGATCAAGGACAACTAATAACCACACTATCCAATCAGAAGACTCGTCTAGCTAATTAAGTTGGCGTGTAAATACTGAACAGAGTAAACTGTGCGTAATCTCTTCAGCCGCGAGCCGCGATAAACGAGGGCGTATGCCAACGGAAGCCGCGATAAACGAGGGTGTACTGATGCCCACGGAAGAGAAGTCGACGGATTCAAAGGCGGACTGCAAGTTGCGATCCATACACAGAGTAGAAATCATGCGTTTTTTCATCCTCATAAAGCCAGGCACGAATTTATAGTAAGGCGAGGAACAGTACCAAAAGGGAAAAAAAACTCGACAGCACCCATTTCTTACCCTCTGCTCGTAGAAATTTTCTCTTGCTTCACTATCTATCTTATCTTGGTTTCCAAGAATGTGACTGTTTGTATTTTTTCCACCGTAACCACTTCTGGCGACAGATGTATATGTAGACAGCAAAACAGCCGTATTTTGCGTTGGCCATGAATGCGAGCACTGGTAAAATGAAACGGTCTAGAGTACGAGTGAAAACGAAGTGATACAAGCGTGTTTCGGCTTCAGGTGGGCGCGTTTCACTTTTGGCGCGAAGCATCTTACGAGCAGCGATTAAGGTTTAAAAGAGACAAACTAAACTGCAATCTTTTTACCATGTTCGCAGATTCCAAGTGTAGTTTAGCTGCCAAAAATCTTTGTATTAAGCCAATGGTGACTTGAGTAGAGAGTCTCATGTATTTCTTCTGAAGTGGCTGCAATCAAACAATCAATCAATCAATCAGTCAGTCAATAAACCAATCAATCAATCAATCAATCAATCAATTAATCAATCAGTCAGTCAATCAGTCAGTCAGTCAGTCAGTCAGTCAGTCAGTCAGTTAGTCAGTCAGCCAATCAGTCAATCAATCAATCAATCAATCAATCCGTCAGTCAATCAACCAATCAATCAATCAATCAATCAATCAGTCAATCAACCAATAAATAAAAAGTTCACTCCCACATTCCCTAAACGCTGCATACGTTTTTCCCTTTTAATAACATTCTTTAAGTTCTGAACCCCCTCCTTGCCTTTTTGAGAGTAGCGAGCCATTCAAAAACGACAACTAACAACAACACAGATACATTTATGGTGCAAATAAGTGCAGCCAGAGTGACGTCAGAGTGCATCAATTGGGCTTTTATTTCAACTTTCGTCAATACTGATTTGTTCAATATTGCATACAAGTGACTTTATGAGACTCCAATGGCTTCTCATTGACCTATTTCAAAACTAAAAAAGAAACAACGTTAACATTTACCTGTATTTTTGCTGGGCCACCACTTCCATCTCTGCAATTTTAACAAGTAAACAATAACATTATCATCCAGCCACATAGAAATGAAGTTAGTTATAGTTAGTCATAGTAATATCTATTTATTTATTTATACATTACATTACACTTGATTTATATAGCGCTATTTTCGAGCCTACAAGCAAGCAAAGCCATGCGAGTGCGCACTGGCTAAGCTGGCAAGATAATTCCAGAAAAAAGGTCCACAAAACACTGCTAATTACATGGAAAATTTACAACTGGCATGTAAGATATACTGTATAATGCAATAATCTAATTGAAACCTAATATCTTATTAAGCCTCTTCTTAACACACATGATATAAGCCCTTTTAAAAAAATATATGTCTGGGTGACGTATTCAGACAGGAGGACTGGAGTTAAACATCTGATTCAGTTAATTTATCAGTAGATGTTTATTACGCATATAATATTTCCTAGTAAGTACATGCACTGTGATTGGTGAATGTTGCTGGCCATATTTCAGTATACTGCCCTAACATGTTCCCTTTCCCACATGCCAATTAACCTCTGAGATAAAACAATTTTTTTACTAGCCTCATACTCTCAGTCCATACTTATCGTTACAGATCCTCATTTTCCCCATTGATTGACGGTTAAGGTGACTCGACCCAGTTTTTTTGGAGGGGTACCATCCTACTTTGAAGCTCTCTGGTATCCCCACCTTTACTTTTATCGTAAGTCTAACACATAGAATGGATAACATATAGATCAATCTACAATATAACATAAAATTTTTGGCGATCGGAGTAAATGTCACGTGGTTATAATGCCACGCCCCTTTGAGACCTGTCTGAGTCGAAAATCTGCTGTTGCCGGCATTTTTTCGTGAAAATCTCTCGGCTACACATAGTGCACATTAGTGCCTTGCGCTGAACAGAGTTTCACCAAAATCGCAAAGACCCAATTCGAGAAATTCAGCGGTTTCCAAATTTAGGTCATAATTTATGCGAAAATGATAAGCAAACTTTACACGGATTATATCTAATAAACTATGAGATTCATCTCTTTATTTTGGGTATCGTTATAACAGATGGGTCCTTGCTAGTCAGCAAAACAATTTAGGGCCTTGTAAATGCGCGCGATTTCGAGAAGCAAACATATAGAAATTATAGTTTTCGCTATTTGTTGACGTTTGTCAGCGTTTAAGAGTCAATCTCACGAAAAAAGCATTTTCTTAAAAATTCGTAGTTTATTAGATATAATCCGTGTAAAGTTTGCTTATCATTTTCGCGTAAATTATGACCTAAATTTGGAAACCGCTGAATTTCTCGAATTGGGTCTTTGCGATTTTGGTGAAACTCTGTTCAGCGCAAGGTACTAATGCGCACTACGTGTAGCCGAGGGATTTTCACGAAAAAATGCCGGCAACAGCAGCTTTTCGACTCAGACCTCAAAGGGGCATGGTATTATAACCACATGACATTTACTCTGATCGCCAAAAATTTCATGTTATATTGTAGATTGATCTATATGTTATCCATTCTATGTGTTAGACTTACGATAAACGTAAAGGTGGGGATACCAGAGACCTTCAAAGTAGGATGGTACCCCCCCAAAAAAACTGGGTCGAGTCACCTTAATGCACTTCACACAGAGGCCATAAATCAATGGCAAAAAAACTTGGTCTGTAACTCACAGTACATACCTTGAACTCGATTTATAGTACATAATACAGTGGAGCCCCAGTTTATTGTAAAAACCACCCCTGGGCGAACTTGCTATTACACTGTCTGATAACATTCTATTTGGTCAAAAAAAGAAGTGAACATCTTGCAGTGGCTTTTGGTGTACATTACTTTGTTACATCTTTTCCAGGTATTCATTTATGGAAACAATGTTATCTTCAAGACAGTGCCATGCTCTCTTAAGCCTAGTTAAATAATCTATACAGGTGTATCACTTCATCTCGCAACTAAGGTAAAAAGTAAGGTAAAAGGTGCACACGAGTCAAAGGCCCAAACAGCAGGAGCTTATTCAGATTTCCTTAGCATGAAGCTGCCTTGGAGTATAGCTGCTTCCCCCTGGACGGGATGCTAGTCCATCACAGGGTAACCCCCCCAGCAGTATGCCACTGACACTCATTTATACACCTGGGTGAAGAGAGACAAGGTGGAGTAGAGTTCCTTGTCTAAGGAAACAAGGGGACGGGTGAGGCTTGAACCCCAGAACTCCAGATCCAGAGTTTGAGGTGTTAACCACTCTACCACACAGCCTCCATCTCACAACTATTAAAAGGCAGGGTTTAATCACAAATTAATTTATCAATTATTTCACTAACCTAAATGTCTCAAGTTGAAGAGAGATTTGTTCATCTGTTCTATGATAGTTTTTTGTTACTTTTGGTTTGCTTATTTTTTTGGGTAATGATGTTGTTTGTTTCTTGAGGGCATTTGATGGTCCTGGTACAGATGAAGTCTGACAAGCTACAACAGAAAAAAGACAAACAAACAATAAAAAACAGAACTATCAATAATTAACAAGTATTATTTCTTGATACCACCTTCTGTTTGTTACATAATTCCTTTCTGCGTTATATGCGATGGACACGAGAGCCATAGAAATGGTACAAAAAATGACTGTACAGATAGTGATGTAAATGTAAAGGAGCAAAAACAACAAATTTAAATTGCACTTTATAGAACATTTTCTTGATCCCACATTATAGCAATTAAATGGAAATGCATGTAGTTGGAGCAGGACCAGACCCAACAGACAGAAAAAAATATAGATTTTATAATTATTTTAAGCACTGACAATAGTCCACTTTCAAATTAAAAATTACAGCTGAATACAAAAATTAACAACACATTCATACAGGGTTAGCCTTGACGTAAAGTAAAATATTCAGAAATTCTGGCAAGTAAGTGTTTGAAATAATATTACTTGAATATACACAATGGACAGAGTAATATACAGGTCTTCTTCTTGTTGTGAATATATTACTTCAGATTGAGGCTAAGGCTGTAAAAAATGCATCTTCACTTCTTTAATTCAGCGGTCATAGTGAACTCGAAAATGGACTATTATAGAACTGCAAGCTGGGCAGATAATAATATTATCATTTCTTAAAATCAGCGGAAATACCTCTGGGGGTTGGATATGGTATCTGCCTATCTTTATAGAACTTGCGTTCTCTGCGCCTTTCCTCTGAAATCAAAGAAACAGGATGCACTAATCAACAAAGTTATATAAGTAGCTGGGTTTACTTAAATTCTGGGTTCAGTCCAAATAACATTGACCAAACTTGGGGTAAAAGTGAAAGGTTCAATTAATTGTATCATCTACATGTAATCAGAAACAGTTACAGAAACTAATAGGATCACTTCATGTGAGATATTTCAGGCAATGTCTTGAATCAGTTTTGAAAATGATTAATATTAACCATGTTACTCTTAATGCTAGCTCACCCCTTTCAATCCTTGGAAGGAGCTTGTAAACAATATCTTGCATAGTTCTGTCAAGTCTGTGAAGAGAATGTGATTCACATCATTTCTAGTATAATATAACCATAACCATAGGAGAAACATATGAATAGAGAATTTAAAGTCCAGAATACCCAGTAAATAGATTTTTTCCAAAACCGAAATGTGAGATTGCGGGATCCCACCTGGTGGGTTCTGCTAAGATCATCAACAGGAAGATGAGGCACACCAGTTTTGACTGTACCTGACAATGCCAAAACCTCTAAAGCTACTGGTAAAGCTCTCAAGACACTTTGCAATCATTGCAAAATCACAAGTGATCAGGAGACGATGATTTTCGTGTCCGGTCGTACTAATAACCACAGCAGGTCTCCGAGGTGAGCAGCCTCTGGTTGAAAGAACAATGTAGACTAGTCTCAAGATCATTGTCTCCCTGATCACCTGGGGGAATATTTATCAATATTAATACTGGAGAAGGGTTTCGCTACAGTCATAAAAAATAAGAATTGCTCCGGACTGAGACTTTGACCTAATCGTCTTTGCACTCATGGTACAGTACAAAAAACAACAAATGATATAGGCGATAAAGCCTCGAAAAAACTATCATGCTCTGAAATTTCCATCAGCAACAGAAGACAGCAAAAAAGCAACTGACAAACAACAATGAGCACGTGACTCAAAATAACCCCTTGGGCCCAGCTCTCTGCGGTGTGCGAGAAAACATTTTCCACTTATTTTGTACCTCAGCCAGTGGAAAATACAACTTACTTAAAATTAATATTAATTTTTACCTGATATTGTAAAGTGGTTGTGTCTCATGAATAACAGTGTTGCATGTTGGACATCGATTAACAAGTTCAATATGTCTCACAAGGCAGCTCTTACAAACTAACAAAATAAAATGTAAGACAAAATATTTAAGAATAGATCAAAACATGTTATTGATCTCAATACTGGATTGGACTGTACTGAGGAATATTGGCACAGGATAATTAAGGTATCCATGATAACAATATTCATAATTTTTTGAAAAAATGTTATTTTGCAGAGACTTTGGGGACTTAAATTTACAGAGACATGTGCTTTTGCAGAAAGCTCGTTATTTCTGAAATGCATTAGCATTTTCGTTTTTCAAAAGAAATTAGCCGTATGATCTACAACCATTAAGCTTTCAGAAATAGTACAGCGTGTAGGGTTAGAAGCACTTTAGAGCAATCTGCATGAAGACGGTTCTGAAGGTAGGATGGTACCTTAATACAATGTATTCACTACAAAGTGCCCCAACCCCCTTGATTCAAGAGTTAAATGCCCAACACTGCTCTGATGAATGTTTTAATTATTGCTTTGGACGTAATATTATGATAATAATGACATGATTTGGGGCGCGAAAAAAGTCTTATCCAGTAGTTTGGGACAAGTAGGATTTCAAGTGCTGCCCTCGACTTTAGCGCCCACTGATAATTCAAAGTTGCAGCCATGAGATGGACTCCAAATGAGAGGAGGAAAAGAGGTGTCAGTCAATTAAATCCACCTGGTGGAGAACAGTGATGATCAGGGTTGAGCTGGAGGAGATGGGTGTAACATGGAGCGAAACGCAGGCCAAAGCTCAGGATAGGCTAAAAGTGTCGAGGTTTTATTGTGGCCTTTTGTCCCAGCTGGGATGAGGAGGTTAAGTGAGTGAGTGAGTGCTTTGCCACTTTTGAGAAACTGCGAAGTCCTAGTTTATGTTCACAGAATCTACAGCTACTATATATCTCTAGCCAATATTCCCTAGTCTATCCGTCATACTACGTCAATAGGAAAGTCATGTAAATTCGTAGACTTACAAGTGTGCAGACATTCTGTTATGGTTGCTGCATCAATAAGATATCCATTGCACAATTTGCAGGTTATGTGTTGATTGAGGTTTACCAATGGTAACTTGACACGTTTCTGCAAAAAAGCAATGATTTTCATTAAAAAAAAACAAAAAATTGAGCCAACAGCACCTATCAGCACCATACAGCACCTTGCAATAAATTAATAATTAATTTATTGTAAGGTGGGCTCTGTATGGTGCTGATTAGATGGGTGCTGTTGTTTCACTTATAATTTGAACTTAATATAATTTACTGCAGGGTTTGAGCCAGCACTCACACCTTAGGAGACACTTAGTTTGTCCTTTCAAGCTCTTATTAGTAGACAAATAGTGTTTTTTCACATTTTCTTGTTTTGATATCTGGCTTAAGGTACATATCAGTACGCAGCCAGCAGTCAATTTTGAATCAGGTAATTATGCTAATTTTTATCACATTCCCAAATATGGTCATGTTTATCAGGTGTTCACACAGTGTATTATTAGCTGCGGCTGTGGAGTATCCTTCAAGTTAACGTCACCTGATCTTTCACATGATTTGGAGAATAACTCTATTTAACCAGCACAGAGCCTCATCCGAAGATTGCAAAATATGAGAAAGACATTAAGCGAATTTTACCAACACTTTGCAGAACCAAACAGACTGTGAGGTAGAAGTCTGGAATTCTTCCTCACCTTTGTATGAGCACTTCAACTTTCTTTACAAGAAAGAATAATATTATCAATGTATCACAAGAAAGTCAATGTCTGACTCAGATCTTACAGATCTTAGAAGAGATGTCATAAGCGACATTTCATTTCTTATCCAGTAGACTTTCTCAAAAGCTAATAAGATCACTCCTTTTTATTTTCAGAAATCAATAACCATAAATGGCCACCCACTAGGTGGGATGATACCGGAGAGAAAAGACACAAATTACAAATTACATAAGGTAGGGTGTCTTTTCCCAAAAATAAACACAGAGCGCTTTAAGACAACTTTTGCAAATAAGTTAATTTGTAAGCATAAGGTTTTAAAATGATAGTTGACTTCATTGTAGCTTAATAGGATATGAAATATTTAGTGTGTAGTATCGTGGGAGATTTTTACAAGTCACGCTGTATTTTGGCGAGCCTATAGGGTGAGTCAAAATACAAGCGACAAGTAAAAATGTCCCACGATACTACACACTAGCTAGACCGTCCAATAAGAGGTTTATTATTCAACTCAAGGAGTATAAAATAGAACTAAGTAAATGTACACGCTTGCCTGGCCTACTTATGATGAGAATGTGTGACAGACTAACACAAGTCGAGTTTTCGCACACTTTCATCAGCGCTGTTGCTAATTGGTCAGAAATGAAAACTTGTCAAACTAGTTTATGCGATCAATTTTTCACAAGTTTTCGTCAGCGCTTTCAAACATTTTCCAGAAAAACAGAGATGGAATGACAAATAATCGTGAGGCTTATGATGGTAATCAGTTATGTAAAATGGACTGGAGGTAGAAAAACTGAGCAGTGCAATGCAAATTGCGATGGAAAGACAAAAACTCTTCTACAAAATTTAAGTATTTTCAAAGAGCTACTCATAAACAAAGGCTTGAAACGTCATATTCACCAGGTTATAAGCTTACTAACAAAAAGAGAACGCCTTATGTCTACCATGTTGAGTTTCCTCACATTTTAGAAATACTAGGGGTGAAGACTGATCAGTTCCTCGGCAGGGATTGTATTTTTTGAGCATCACCATCTGTATCACACAGCGTCAGGTCTGTTTTCATCTTCTCTGTTGTATCTTTAGCATAAAGTTTGTACGCTCTATCTATTATTAATAAATGTCGACATTTCATTGTCGTTCAGACGACAAACTGGCGGTAGACAATGATACTAAACTGTAAATGAGAGGGTATAGTGATCATGTTATTTTTCTAGCGAACTAAGCATATTTTATCACTTAAGCTTTAAACGTGGTGCACACTCAACATATTTACACGCATACTTTGACAACAAGGATCACATTTCCGATCGTAATGACCATACATCGTCTTAGAACTAACAGGTCACGTTAAAGTAGTGTCACTCTAAATCAACTTAATTCTTATTAACTACATTAGCGCAATTGAATACGAACAAAGGCAGTAAATGGCACAGTATAATATATATTACTCTCAAGTATACATATATGAATAATTTCCCTACCTGCATCGCCTGCATCTCGAACAAACATGGGCACACCGCTACGAGAGTCAATCATCAACAGGCGTTCACATGTACTTTAACCTCGTTTCTATGCGGAGTCTCGATTGCGCGCCGCCTCGCGCGCCTCCTCGCGCGCCCTGTTCTTTCCTGCGCCCATTGCAAGGGCCAAGCCGAGCGCCAATCTCCGGGGCCAATCTCGTTCCCAGAGGCCGCGATCCTTTCAACGCGGACTCTGGGAAGGAGATTGGCCAAGCGCCTGCAACGCAATTATGGCAGGGAAATACTAAATATCGCTAGGCAGGTCATATATAATATTCAACACCAGTTTTGAAGTGAAACAAAAATATCACTGTTCTATCCCTTCCTTCCCAACTTTGCTCGTGTGTTTGTATCGCTGGATCCAAATTTTGATTTAGGGCTGGGTTAGGTCAGAGATTTACTATGTAGTCGGCATGCCGGAGAAAAGAGGGTCGGGTATTTGGGGTAACAAAGAGTAAGTGTATGTGGGGTAATAAGCGGGGCTGGGAAGGTACACACAGGAAGCCCACTCTGGACGGTTTACTTTTGGTCATAAACAGTTTAGACTTTAGACTATCAGTCATCAATGTCAAGATCAGCTTTGTCCTATTTGTCACGGACGAAAACATAAAAACAATGGGCCTTCCATCTCGTATATTTTCGCGTTTTGTATTCATAAGAGAGATCTCAACTCCGGAACTCTAAGCTTACATTCATACACTGCACCATTTATGAATACGGTCAGTTCCACTGAGAAAGACTGAAAATGTTTCGTCTGTTCTTCTTGATGACTTTGGCCATTTTCTTGGCCGCTTCCTTGGGAACTTCGCAGAACAATTCTTCAAATCAGGTAACTTAAGAGCGAACCAAGTTTTAAAGCATTCAACTTTTCCCAGAATATATTCCCTAGAATCTATATTGGCTAGGGAACTGTTAAGATGCGGTTTTCTTTAGCTTTCTAGACTCATTAGCAACGCTGTTTTTATGCCTATCAGATTCTTTCAGATTCACGATCCGTTTAATATCTTGGCTGCAAACAAGAAACTCAGCTATTACAGACAAAAATTTAATTAATCATCGATTTTACAGGATACAGCATTTAGGACTTTAGATTCGGATAGCTCATGGGCCATCTTCAGTTTTCATGAGATTATTAAAGGAAAGAAAACAAAATAATTGCGCTCCATGCAGGAAAACGGGGGGGGTTAAAAAGGGGGATAAAATTAAAGTGTCTGGTTGGTAAGGGGAAGATATATCGGGAAGTTTGAAAACGCGCGGGTGTTTGAGAATTTCGCAATAGGACGCGCGTCTTCGAGGGTCTGTGAACGCATCGGTCCCTTGTTACCAGTCTTCTCTCAATGAGAAACAAACGCCTGTTGAATATTTGCCAATTAGGGATCTCAGGTTTTAACAGTTATGTTTTACAAGTTGACCCAAATCTACCGTGTTCGACTCCCAAAATAGTCTTTGGGAAGCAGAGCGTCAATTAGAGAAGCTTTTAAGGAGATTTATTATTAGAATTGGAACTTACTCTTTACCAAAAAAACGTGAGGTCTATAAGGTGAGCTCAGGTGAGTTTTAACTCCTTGACGACTGTTTTGGTCTTTTTGGTCCTAATTTTTGAACCATGAACATTTTCCTTCGTGGACCCATTGATAGCAAAATCAGCAAGGATAGATCTTTCCGCTGGTACCTCATTTAGGAAATTTTGACCAATCCTGACAGATCTTTAATTTTACATGTACACTAAAAAAATCAACATTTGGGGGAAAATCCACCACCAATTTTGCTATTTACCTGCTACTCTTTGCCCTTTTCCTGAAAAGGCGGCCAGCCAAAACTCCACACAAAAGAAAGACACTAAGTGGGCAACAAAACGGGTTGTGAAAAAAAAAGACAAATGGAAAAAATGAATGCAAGGAAAGAGTATTGAAACAGATTCCCAGCTTGAAAAGCTTGAAAAAGCTATTGTTGTGTTGCTTGCAAGCTTAGGCAGGGCTGTCATCAAGAGACAGGGGCCGGGGATTTCCTCCGGCTACAGTATGAATGTATGAATGTTTTCATATCATTTATCTAGATTTTCCACTTCTTTAAGTGATAAAGTATGTTAAATTTCCCAATCTATCAGACTAATGGATCTGCAGCAAAGTCTAAAAGCTGTAAAGTTGTACCTCAAGCTGGTTGCTGTAAGGATGGTGAGTTTACAATTTATTGTAAAAATTGATTTTAGACAAAGTGATAATATTTCCATGCAGGATATGGAAAAAACCCAGCTAATATCAAAAACCAAAATTAAATCTTCTTAGAACGTGTAGGTTAAAATTTCCCTGGATTGAGATTTTATATTGTGTGGATGGTAAGTTAGTTCAGTTGTGTTTCATTAATCTAATACCTGTATTTTGTTTTAATAATTTAAGGCAAAGATGGAAAGGATGGACAACATGGTGAGTCACATTAAAATGCAGCAAGTTTCCTTCATTACCATTTGCATTAATGCAGCATTAGATGATTTAGAAATAATTAGCCACCCAGGTATAATCAAGTGTTGTTTTTTGTAATTGCAGGAAAAGATGGACGTGATGGAGTGAATGGTGATCTACATAATTTTACTAATATTATTATCCTTTTATACAAATACAGACTGTACCTGCCAATTCTTTCTGAGTCAAATCAAATCAATTGTGAGATCAATTCTAAAGTTATCTCAAAGGCAACAACTTAAGCATGTTGACACCAAGTGTCAAAGAGAAATTGAATCAAATTTTTGTCCTTTAAAATCATGTGTTAAAGAACAATTTCTCTGGAATTGTTTGTCCAGTGTGAGCACGAGTGAAATCAATGTCTAAATAAGTCCACATGCATGAAACTCATGCATAGTGTGTTAGTCAGTGGGCAGGTAGTAG